TAATGTCTTTATCCTAACTCTATGAAGGTCCCCATCCCTAGAAATCAGAATAACAAAAGGGCAATCACCAACATATGTATACTTTAACCTTTTTGTATCACCTTTCTCTACCCGTAAGTCCTTTTTTGTTTGCCAAAGAATAGAAATTAATACATTTTCTAGCTTCAAATATGTCTTTGAAGCTCATATCCTTGTATAATTCCTTATAATTTTCTAGCCTTGCCACAATTTCAGTATTTCTTTGCTACAATTTTTTGTAATCCATCAGAATCATAATCAACCTTATCATCTTCATTATGAGTATATCACTCTCACTATCAGATTCACTACAGTCAGTAGCATAATTAGTTATTACTGGAGATGAGTCAGTGTGATGAACAATATTAGGCACATTAATAAACTCTTCATACTCATCAACATCATAGAAGTGAAGTGTTTTAAATTCATAAACTCAGTAAATGCCTCATTCCATCATCATTTTCTACCTCATAATAATTACCAGAAGGGCCATTTATAATAAGTTGTTGAACACCTACATGCCCCAACTCACTAGTGTATGTAGTTTCTAGAAGCTTGTAAGAAATAAGTTCATAATCATACCCTCTCCAAACCAAAGGCATTCTTAATATTTTGGAAGACAATTAAAAAATAATAAGCAAATTGATAAAGATAATCAATAAACAAATTATATAAACAATAAATAAACCTACACATGAGCTAATAAAAGAACCTAAGGAAAATAATTAACAAATCAGAAGAAGAATAAAAAAAAATAGTGACTTGGTGGACCACAGACAGATGCAATAAAATAGCGGACCAGAAACATTAATAATAGTAAAGTCCCACTAGCACTAAAATACTCAAATTCTCTATTACTTTAAGGGAACAACATTCACCATATACAGATAAAAAGAAAACTTAAGTCGCAAATTGTAACCTCACATTCTCAGCCAGAAAAGGCACAAAGTCACACTCGGGACCACCAATAAAAGAAGAATCCCCACAATAATGCTGACCCGTAAAAACCCTAACATAAAATAGCTTAAATAATACATGCTGACACATAACAACATAGATATTATCGATTTGAGCTCATGTCAAAAATTGTAAAAGCATAAAACGAGTAAAAACTAAAGAATTGACTAGACCGAAAACAGTAAAAAAATATCAATGTCTTTCTTAAACAAACAGTAAATGGAAGATAAACTAACCTTTTGAAGAAGAACAAGGATAAATCGGAAGCATCATGTCTTTCTGAAGACTATACGACTTAGGGTTTGCAAGTTAATTTGTTTTCTCTGTGTTTTTTACTGAGCGATGATTCTAAATTGGGGTTAGGTAATGACTAAGAGAATTTAAGTTAGAGGGGCTCGAGTGAGACGGGTTAAAAGGGTTGAGTCGGCTAATTTTAATGAGATATGAGACGGATGATTTTAGAACAATAGGATAGTGACACGTGTATTTATTAATATCCTATTAATAAACTGACGGCTGAGGGGTATTTTAAATAGAAAAGTAAACGCCAGGGACTATAATAACACAAAAGTAAAACGGGGGACATATAACTTATCTTTAATAGTAGAGGGGTATTTTAGGCACTTAACTGAAATATCAAATATTCCACATTTCAATTCCAATCCAGTTAGACGGGCAGCGGGCTATGTTAACTTTAAATATTCCGCTTTATTGGGATCCCTTGGGTTAGCTAATGAACTTCAGGTAACCTATAAGTCACGTGTTCGAATTGTGAAAACAACCACTAATGCTTGTATTATGGTAGACTGTCTATATCACATCACTTGAGGTGTGATCCTTCTTTGGACCAGTGCGAACACGAGATGCTTGGTGCACCAGACTGACTCCAGCTTGAGATAAGAAAAGGCAAGCCAGTAGTTTTTTTTTTTTTTTTTTTTTTTTTTTTTTTTTTTTTTTTTTTTGCAGGTTCTAGTAAAATCAAATTGGAGGACAGTGATGACAGAATTATCATCCGAAGATTTATGCATCTGATCCTAAATCCTTACTCCATATATGTTAGGATATGAAATTAAAATCATGCATAAAATATTTAGAACATAATTGAATTTATTTTGCGTGCATTACACGAGTTCATTGCTAGTTATTTGATTATTTGTATTCTATTCCAAGATGTGGTTATAGTACTTGAGAAAAGGGTTGAACTGGTTCCAAGAATTTATTAAAGCTAGTCTTGCTTCTAGCTTGACATTTACACTGATAAATATCTTTAGCAGAAGGAATATTTGTATTGAAAGTGAGTCTTTTTTAGGCCATGAAGTCATCTATAAACTTTCTGGTTTCTTCAGGGCATCACCAAATGATAAGAAAATGGCTAAAAGTAGGTCATATAGTGCAGATTCTGTAGAAATAATTGTGCATTATAGTGAGTCTTTTTTAGAGCCATGAGATATCCTCTTTTTAAGATGCAGATTCTGCAGAAATATCTCTAGTTTGTTTGCCCAGGACGACTCAAGCACGTGTGGAGCCTAAAGTCAACGTTTAATGTGACGCCTAATTTTTAAAAGAAAGTTATAAATTTTTTATTTGAAGTCTATTTTTTTAGCTTCTTGGGATACAAAGTTGTTAATAATTTTTTTATAATAGATTTTCTCTAATAATTTCTTTTCAATTGATAATATAACGAACTCATTTAACATTTATTGAGACATTGTTGATCTTAGGCAAGTTTTTTTAGAGCAATAGAAGTATAGAACCTTTGGAATCTTTAAAAATTGTTGATCACTTGAACTAATAAAATTTTGGAGAAAGAAGGTGAATAATGAAATCTTGGAGAAAGAAAATAAGAATATCAAAGCGAAAAACAAAAAGTATGTAGGAATTTCTGAAATGTGAAGAGATTAGGGAAAAGAAAGATTGACTTGGACAAGTGAAAGAAGGGGAAATAAAATATTTACATGTTATCTAACGAAAGAGTAAAATGTGGAATTGGGAAAACTATTTAGCTATCCATTTTTAAGTAAGTCAAATTGTTACTTGTTTATATATCTAAAAAGTTTTCTTCCCTTATATATGAAAAATTCTGCTTTTATATTTAAAATACTAAATATTATTCCTTAAATACCTATAAACTTATCTTTTAAAAATGGAACTCCCGAAATTTGGGGACCTAAGGCACAAGCCTCACTATTGAATTATTGATAACGTTAGAGCCGGCCCTAAATTTGCGCACACCTCATCTTGAATAAGCATCAAGTCAATCAATCAATAAATCTATTACGCATAACAAATTAATTAGTTGGATCGACTATATGAATCCGTTATAATCATACTTTACTCGGGCTCATTTTCATTCCGAAAACTAGGAGCTCAATATCTGCCAACATGGCATCAGGTTTTCGCTTTGGAATTTTTACTTCCTATAGCAAAGTTTAACACTTTATTTATTTTAAATAAATACCATTTAAAAAATTATATTCTATAGATACCTTTTAATGTTTATAGCAAAATATCTAATTTTGGTTATCTCCTACCCCTAAACTACTAAATACGTTATTCAGTTACACTATTTTCTTTCTCTCTATACTTTGATACATGTCATTCTCTTTCCCAAACACGATACTCAATCTCAATCCAACGAGAAACCCTAGCAAGCATTTCCGAATCGAAGCTCGAGAAAGGACGAGTCGAGCAAAAAAAGACTGAATCTTTTCAATCAAAGTAGAGATCGTGATAAGGTACAGAAACAACCCAAGTTTCTGTTGGCATCGAAACTAAAAGCTTTGCGAGAGAAACAAAGATTAAATTATTGTATTCACTGGTATTATATTTCAATCAAATTAGATGCCCTGGTATTCAATTAATCGCGATGAAGAAGATTTCTGTTAATATATTTCAATGTATTTTCAATGTATCACGCTGCATTTTCATGTATTTCATTGTCTCTTTTTTTCATTGTAATTCAATGTATCTTGCTGTATTCCATTGTATTCACTGTCTCTTTTTTCATTGTATTTCAATGTATCCCACTGTATTCTATGTATTTCATTGTATTCACTGTCTCGCTATATGCCATGAATGTATTCATAGATTTTTTTAATTAATATAATTTATGTATTCAGATGTATTATATAATTTCTCTGAAGATTGCTATGTTTTGGGGGTATTTTTCGGTTGAGAATCTTTTTTATAACTGGAAATACAAAATTTGTGTGTTATAATTGAGTTTGTTGATTGATATTATGAGTCTATTATGTTAATTGATTCACTTTCCATTTAAAAAGAGTGTCATCCCCTGTTTCACGCCGTAAATACAGTCGAATACAATAATCTATCCAGCCGTAATCTCATGTTTCACGCCATGAATACAGTCGAATACACTCGAATACAACAACTAATTAGTTGGACTTCCCTGATTCACGTATATTTTTGCTACTGTATTCATGAATACAGTAGCTTAAATACATCTAATACATCCTATAAGAACAAAAAACGTATCTACAATCCGTAATATAGCAAATGGTATCTATAGATAGATAATTACCACTAAAAGATAGTGTTTTATGAAAATTTCTCTTTCGTTTTTAGCATAGCTATTAAATCATATTACCATTTTTTTAAAACTATTTAAAGTTTAGCCAGTATTGGCTCCTCCTGCCTGAATGCTTAAAGTCTGAACTGCCAAAACCAAAACTTGAAGTTAGGCTCTGGTAGCGGGTCTGAAGTTAGGCTCTGGCAGACCCGAAAGTCTGAATCTGAACTGCAAGGCTTGAAACTTCAGATTCCCGATTGGAACTTCAGTCCAATGATCTAGAGTTTGATTCTAAGGCGGCTAAACTTTCAAAATTTTGTAAACTTCGGCTATTGTTTAAATTGGGGTCATAAAAAGACTATTTTTGCACTTCGCCCTCAAAATCTACGAGCAACAATCTAGAAATAAAGGGTTTGCAATTACATACCAAGAAAATTAGTAACAATTAATGTCAGCGGTCAGGTTTAGATGCTGCTCTATAGATTTCACCTTGCAATAAGAGGAAAATGAGCTACCACCTCAAATTCTATTCATAGCCTCATCAAATTTCAAACACACATTACAATAAAAGCCTGCTGTTTTTCTTCTTCAATTAGTTTTGAGGCTTCATTTCCTACTTGTTTAGTTCAGAGAAAACTAAAAAAAGCATTATTTACAATGTTGCCTACCAGAATGTAACGGAGACTCTCTGATACTCCTCGAATGATTATAGCTAAGTTGTTGCATTCCGTCTAGTTTCTTCTTTCGCCTTCCTGATTGCATTAAGCGAGAATGATTTGATAATATAGCGAGATCATTGAGGTCTTGAAGCAGTGTAAGAGCCTTCACAACTTCATCCATTGTAGGACGAGATTTAGGATCCCTGCTCAAGCACATGTAAGCTAGCTGTGCGATCTTTTGCACCCCTTTAACGGAGTAATTTAGCTCTAGCCGAGGGTCTACAAGTTGATAAAACTTTCTCTTGTCAGCTAAATATGGCCTTGCCCATGCTACAAGATTTTGTTCTCCACTCGGGCGCTTTTTGTCCATGGACCTCCTACCAGTTAAAATCTCCAAGAGTACAACACCAAAACTAAAAACATCGCTCTTTGATGTCAAATGTCCTGAGAAAATAGAAGACAGGTTTTGCTCATGTATTGACATTCAAAATACATTAAGCAGCGAGCTGTGGCGGAACCACATTTAACACAGACACCCCCTTCGCTAGAAAATTAAACTATATTGCTACATAAAAGTATTTGTTTTAAGCATATATACTATAAGTTGAATCCCCTTGGCTTTTTCGTGTGTTTAATTTTTTTATATTTTGATACCCATTAGTGAAAATTTTGGCTCTGCCTCTGGCGGTGAGGACCTGTTTACTCGCCATATCTTGATCATGTTCCATTCAGATTAAGATATGTGTGTTTTATAGACCATCATAGGATATTTATCCCTTATCTTCCTAGCAAATACCCTAGGAAATCTCATATAATCCTAAATACAAATTAAAGAAACTAATGAGAGTTGTTTACCTGTCATCACATATTCTGGAGCAGCATATCCATAAGTTCCCACAACTCTTGTAGAAACATGTGTTTTGTCACCTTGAGGACCAGCTTTAGCAAGGCCAAAGTCCGAAAGCTTAGCATTATATTCCTGCAGAATTTATATTAGTGTTGGAACCCAGGGGAAGTATTAGACGACATAATTGGAGATGTTCCTCATCACTTACCGAATCAAGTAAAATATTTGATGTCTTGAAATCTCTGTAAATGACAGGTTCAGGGCCTCTGTGGAGAAATGCTAAGCCTTTGGCTGCACCAAGCGCAATTTTTATCCTATTGGACCACGGGAGAGGTATTGTCCCTATGAACAGTTATAATAGGCATCAGCAGTTGCATTTTACCACAGAAGCACAAAATCAGGATAGAACAAGCTTCGGCATTTAGTTTTTGCGGTCTGCATATGTTATCTATGTTGGTCATAGACGTTATCGTACTTACATTATGTACCGGGTTCATCTGAACCCAATACTTGTGACACGGAGCATAAACTTAATGTATAAAAATCCATTAAAATTGTATAAATTAGTAGTTACGAACCCATAATGTTAAACATACAGTGGGTTCAACGCTAAGAATAGAGCTTAAATCCTGGATCAACCTCTGGTTTTTGTCAGGACTAAGTTTCAGGACAAATTACAAAAGTCTTTCAGCTGTGAAGAGTGATAAAAGGTCACTTTGCTTGCATTATTAAGACCAAATGTTTCAAAACGCAACGAGAAATCAGAGAACTCACTTCTAAAAAGATGGTTTTCAAGGCTTCCACGGGTCATGAACTCATAAACGAGCAGCCTTTGATCATCTTCAATACAGTATCCGATTAACTTGACAAGATTAGGATGATGAAGCTGTCCAAGGAAGTCTACTTCTGCCTGCATTAAATTCATTACATTATATCCATTGCATATACTTCTTTACAGTCTTTGCTTACTCTATTCTGACTCATTTTTTTACTACTAAGCACTAACCACGAGCAGATAGTCTACGTACTAACCACCCATTCTCTATGGCCTTGAAGACCATCTGGTTTCAAGCTCTTGACAGCAACCGTAGTCCCAGAACCGGGCTTTGCTGGTGCTGTCCCGTTCTCGTCTATCCAGCCTTTGAATACGTATCCAAATCCACCTTCACCAAGAATACTATCCGGTCTGAAGTTCCCCGTTGCAGCTTTTAGCTCTTGAAATGTGAACTGAAGCAGCTGCCGTTGCACTTTGTTTTCTGCAGCTGGTGTAAGTGTTGGTAAATCAGTATCATGAGGGGTATCAGAAGATACTCTTGCTTCATCCGGAACGCACATCTCCCGGTTGCTAGCGTTTAGGTATCTAGTCTCTGTAGCTGCACTTGCAAAAAGATGTTTGATTGTAAGTACTTCAACATATATCTCTCAATATTTCTTTCTAGGATTACACATACTACATTTTGGTTTCCAACATGTAATGTTGTCTAGATTGTTAAATTAGATGGAGAGAGTGGTAGAAACCTGTCATAGAAGGTTGATGTATGCAGGGCGGAGGCACAAGCCGACCTACGGGTTCGGCCTAACCCATTAGCTTTTGCTCAAACACTGTATTTGGTGTTTTGAATTCATGAAATATGTATAAACATTAAATCTAGAACCCATTCATTATAATTCGAAGTTGTGGTCCCAAAATCCAAAACCCATAAGGTTAATTCCTGACTCCGCCTTTGGATGTAGGTGCTATTTGCTGAAGAACAAAATCATTGAAAACATTTGAGTATGTTTTTCTTTCCAAAAATTCTATTAAACTATTGGGGGACCGGGGAAGGGGAAGGGAAAGGGGGACAGTGCGAATTGAATTCACACCTATTACGTCGGAGGCTCCAACCGATACCACTAGACTCCAACCAATACCAATAGACTGTAAGACTTGGTGTTATACTTGAGCATGTATTTTCATTAATCAAGGGAATTAAGCTGAATACTCCATTCAGCTTTAATTATCCATTAAACAATAGAAACAACCTTTGAAATATTAATAGAAATTATCCTCCCTTGGTTGGTTGGGAGAACCATCAATGACAATAGATTGAAATTGTGTGAGGTTTGGCAAGAATTGCTAAATAAACAATCTTGAAGATGGTCATCAAGCAGGGGGAACTCCAGCAAACAAGAAGTCCACATAGATAAATACCCATCGTCCCTGTCGCTCGATTTAAGCTCGCCTCAATCCCATATGACTATTTGTATACGATCGCTCAATAAATAAAAGAAACTTACAAATGACTTAAAGAAAGCTTAAAGAATCACTAAACATGTAACACTATAAATATATTAGCTAAATTTGAAAGATCAACGCTTTAAACTTAAACAATGACAAATATATTTTAGTTTTTGCATTCAAGAGTGTGGCCGAGGTTTCAGGTTCAAATCCAGCGGAGTTAAAAACACACTAGGTAATTTATTTCCAGCAATATAAGTCTTGATAGAGTGATCAAGAGGTCACGGGTTCAAGCCGTGGAAACGGACTATTGCAGAAATGCCGTGTAAGGCTGTTTACAATGGACTGGACCCGCATAAAGGGAGCTTAGTGCACCATTTTAATATAAGTCTTGATAGACAAAGTTACCAGGTGTCTGGATGAGAAGGTACCCGATAAAATAGTTGACGAGCACAAGCTAGCCCAAACACCGCCGTCACAAATAAAATAATAGCAAAAGAAAAGGGGTTATAAGTAGAAACAAACCTGCATCATAGACAAGACTAGTTCTTGGAATAGAATTAGCAGAGTGTTTAGAAACAGAAGAACTACAAGCACCTCCAATAACACTGGACCTAAGAACAGCCCAACACCCACAATTCTTATTATTCTTCATCTTATTATTTTCCATGTCCTTCTCTTTCTCTTACTCTTCTTCACTTGTTAGTTAGCCTTTTCATGAACTGTAAACGAGAGAGAGAAAAAGAGAAAGCATTGAGAACAAAGAAAAGATTCACCATATATGCTTATTGAGATAAAAAGGAAGAGAGAGGAAAAAAGGCGGAAATTCCTTTGTTTGGTGTGAGAGAGAGATTGAAGGCATCATCATCAACAACATGATGGCAGTGTGTACAAAAAGAACTTTTTTTCCCACTCTGCCTTTTTCTGTAGGGAATGCCAGCCTCTTCACCTAGCCCCCACCTCTTCCCAAACCAACGGCGGATGCAGAATTTTGTGTCATAATATAAATAGTTAAATATATCGAAAAGTAAAAGTAGAGTCAATATATAATAAATATAGATAAAATAAAAAAATTTATCTAGCAAAATAGTGTAATTTTCTGGTAGAGGGGTGTGGCTTGACACCGCTTGTTGGCTCCGCCACTGCCCCAAGCACCCTATTCTTTCCTCATTCCTCTGCAACAACAGTTAACAGTTGAACAATTAAGAGCCCGTTTGGACATTCAATATTGTTTCCTTTTTTTCAAAAAAAATTCACTTTTTTTCGAAAACATGCATTTTGAAAATTTTTAAAAATTTTAAAAATACCAAAAAACTATTTTTCAAAATTTTCACTCACAAAACTTCAAAAACAATTCAAACTGAAATTTATGTCCAAACACAACTCTAAATTTTAAATACCATTTTCACTTGAAAAAAAAATTCACCAATTTTTGGAATTTTACAATTCTTATTTCACCATTTTTTGGAATTTTACAATTCTTATGTCCAAACGTCTACTAAATTTTTGGGCTTTCCGTCATGTCCGACTAATTTGAACTCGCAGAGAAAAGTTCCTGTTGGGATAAAGCGTTTCTTACTAAAGACAATTTTATTTCGGCGCTCAAATATTAAGAATGTAGAACTACGTACCATCGCATCAGAAAATTTGGAATAACATTTGAATTGCTTAAAGGGGTAGCAAGTTGCGACACCCATAGTTCTGGTAATAAAGAGTACTATAAATTTAGCAACCTCATTGCATTTTTCTACTCTACGAGTACAAATAATTAATTTTTTCATATGCTTTTTAAATATTTAAATTATTAATTATTATGATTTATAATACTTTTTCGTAGTTTTTAAATATGTTAATTTTATTTTGAAAAATTTTAAAAATTATATCTAAATGCAAGGTCCAAATTAAGAAATTTGAATCTCAAAAAACGAGTGTCGCATAAATTGGGACAAAGAAAGTATCTAATAACTTTTAAAAAATAATAATCTATGCAAATTCAAAAGATATTCAATTATTTTAAATTCAAGTATTATAGTAATATAATAGTAATATTTTAGTATTTAAAAGATTATTCCATTTACTCACTATATAACATTTAATGAATTTAATTTATCGTTTTTATTATAAGTAAGTGAGTGAAGATTTACTGCAATGCGAGTAAATAAAAATCAGTGTACGTGGAACTTCTAGAAGTTAGGCAAAACATGGCCTTTTGTAATTTAGCAACTTATGCCATTTATAGATGAAAAAACGAACAAAAAGATAGGAGTATCTAATTTCATAACAGAAACATATCTTAAGGTCGTGCTTTGTCAAAATAATTAGTATAACAATGACTAGCTTCATCTTTCATTTGAAATTGCCTATTGTTTGATCATTATGATTTATCCCGCCTTGTTGTAGCTATGATTAGTAGTTATTATGAAAAGGGAAACAAACTGCAGATAATTAGTGTCACATTTTTCTCCTCATAATATGATGAGAGTTTAAAGAATCAATTTCACATGCCTAACCGATGAAAATAACAATAACAATAATAAATTTAGTGTAATTTCATAAATGAGATTTGCTGAGAATTAATGTGTACGTAGATATTATCTTTATCTTAAAAAGATAAAGAAACTGTTTCCGACAGACGCCAAGGACAAAAAGGGTTTTGTGAATTGGATAAATTTTTATGTTTGGTTTTTAGCCTACTATACATAACATATCCCCTTATTTTAGGCATCAAAGTTTAATGCTACTATATTGTCATTTGGTGTCCATCTATTGAGTATCTGCACCTTGGTTGAGCTTAAAAAGATCTATCCAAAAGTGGGATTTTCATGTTTGGTTCAAAACTCCAAAAACAGTTTCTTTTTTTTTTTTTGTCTTTTTTCTTCTTAATATTATTGATTTGGAGAAGCTGGTGGATGACAATTTCTTTTATGTATTCACGGTATCAATATGCGTGCATCTCAATTAATTCTACGAGTTATATATTATCTTCCACCAATATAAATATTGAATGATTATTTTCTATCCACTAGAACTTAGAACGGATGAAAAATAATTATTATAAAATGAATAAGAAGGGCGATTCGGTGCATAAAATATTCTGTATTCATAATAGATTTGGAGAGGATCGCACTCCAAAAATGTGTGAACCATTTACTCGAATACAAGCATTGACGGCGGCCTTCACCGCCCGAATTTACAAGACAAATTTAGCGTGAGTATAAAATACACATAGAAATATATCTGGCATGGGGTGACGTGGTGGACAATAAAGAGGAGGAAGATGGAAGAAGGATATTATTTGGTGGGTTATATATAAATTATAACTGTATTAGTAGATTGTAATTTTGATAATAATTAGTTTTTCTTGAGTTTGTCTTGTCCAAACTGTATGTCTTTCTTTCTTCTAATCTCGCCATTTACATATGTCATTATTAGTTTTCATGAAATAATAAAAAATTCAAGACAATTTTATCTCAAACTTTTTTTATTCTTGAAGCTTGTCTAACAAAGAGCAACTACCAACATGAAGAATGTAAAATATTGAATGGTCAAAACACTAAAAGGGATGGTCAAGGGCACTTTGAGCAGCATCCTCTCTTTCCATTTATATAAATATCCCCAAAACAATTAACTAAGTCATTTAGAAACCCAAAACTAATTAGACTTTATTTTATATTATATATATGTGTGTAGATTTCTTTTTGTTCTTTCGTCTAAAGGTGTCTTTATTTATTCACAAAGGGAGCAGAGGTGACTGAGATGTGAGAGCTTGGTAGGGCTCATTTTAATTAACCAATATAAACAAATCAAATTGTACATTCTTGATGCTTTTGTATGATAAAAAGCAAAATAAGATCCTGTTCTTTTCATTATTTTTTTGTACTGTGCTTGCAACTTGACTATGAATTGTTGGAAAAAGGTTGATAGTTGATACCCATTGCCAATACCAACTTTTTGGGTCCCTTCCATTGGCCCTTTCATATTGGCAATTTAGAGGAATGGATTTTTTAATGATGGGGCATGTGGGGTGAGGGTCGGGGCAGCCAGAATTTTTAATAAGGGAAATTAAAATATAAAAATCGGTTAAATAAAAGTTCAAAGATTAAAAAACGATGAATTTAAAGGGTTCAACATATATAATATATACAAAAAATTATCTAGTTACACAATATAATTTTCTGACAAGATCGCAAGGGCGTTAATTCGTTTGGACAAAGGTTGCTCCGCCGCTAGATAGGGTGTGTGTTGGTGGTGGGGTGAGGGGTGGGGGTGGGGGGAATCGAGCAATCATGAGTGTAGCTAGCCCACTTAATGTCAATATGTGTATGGCAAACAAGATAACCCATTTCTTGAGGTAAAGTTAGCAAGGTCTATCATTGGTGCATGAGAAAATGTTAGGGCCATATATTTCAATTGGGGGAAACCAATTTTATGACCTATGTCTGTCACACGAAATAAATAATAATATAGAAGATCGATAAATAAAAATATTGGAGATTTTTGTATAATCATTTTCTCTATTCAAATTGTAGCTCATCAAAAGAGATCATATTCTCTTTCATTCAATTGTTGACACTCATATCTATCTACAAAGGTTCGAACTCTGCGTGCCCCGCCCTGTTAAGATTTTTCAAAAATTAAATTTTGCCCCGCCCCGTCCAATTTAAATGGTCCCTTGCCCCGCCCCATTAAGAGATTATCCCGCCCCGCCCTGCCCCAATTACCATTTCTACGAACTTTGCGTGAACACATGATGCTTCGTGTACCGGACTGCCTTTTTATATAGTATGTTCACAATTTTCTACGCTATTATATCAGGCTTTATATTAAAAGTTACTTATCCTTGTATGTTAATTTTATATGATTGTCGTCTAAAAAATTATACACGACAAGTATAAAGTTAAATTGTAGTTATTATTAGTGTTTGGTGAATGTTTCTACACAAACAGTTTACAGTTGTATAGTAACTAAGCTCTTAAACCACTTGAGCAGCATGTGGCATCAATATTTAACCAACTATTCTTTTCTTTTGCACTAAAAATATGGCATCTCTTTTGGGTTGATTGGTAGTATACTATATATAGGCATCCTCTCGAAAAATATATGGATGATATTTATATGCTTCCTTGACTAAATAGTCTAAGATTCCATCGCAAGTTGAAATTTTAGACACTTGATTCGCTTCTAAAGTTAACTAGTATTAGCACTTGCGCGATCGCGAACACAAAGTATGTCAAATTATAATTTGTATTATTTAGGTTATGTGCAAATAACCTTATTATTAAATTTTCACATAAAAATTATAGATAATCATTAGATATTAAGAAAGAAGAGTACATGAAATTATTTTCCAAATCTCGTAGTGGATAAGCTATTTTTTTCTTTTTGAATTTGTAAGAACATAATCTCTTGATTTTATTACTTGCATCTCGTTCCGTAATTAATATTAAAGAATACTAAACATGTCACGTTGTGATCTAAACATAATTAAGTCATATTATTTTAATAAAATTGTTACTAAAACTTTGTTTTACATCTCAAGTTAAAATATATTTATCTTTTTTCATTTTTTTCTCTTTTTGTTCTTTTCTTATAGTTATTGTATTACTCATTACTTAATGTTGTCTACTATCATGTGATTTTTTATTAGTTTGACTTAATGTCTTGATAATTTTTCTTATAATAATTATCGATAATTATAATTTTTAATTCTTGAAATTTAATGTATTTTAACACTTTACCCTCTTACTCTAGACTCTTTTATCATTTAAGTGTATCAATAATATTATATTATTTAGCTATTTAATTTATTTATTTAAACTAATTCAAAGTATAAGTATAATTCAAAGTATATATTTAAAGTCTAATATATAGTATTATCACATTTTCATGTGGTTTCATTAACTTGTCACTTCATTTAATATCATTATCCAAATATAATATAAATAGATAAGTA